GGGGGTATGGGGACTATGGGGGTACGGGGACTATGGGGGTATGGGGACTATGGGGGTATGGGGATATGTTCAACTGGTGGTTCCTGCCTTGCAAGTATGAGGGCCTGAACCCATGAAAAAAGCCTGGCATGGGGGAAGGCACTTATCATCCCAGGGCTCGGGATGGAGAGAGGAGGGGTCCTGGGACTAGCTGGTCAGCCAACCTAGCCTCATCTATGAGCTCCAGATCCTGGAGAGACACTGCCCTAACAAAAACAAAACAAAACACCAAGGTGGATGGTACTTGCAGAACAACACCCGAGGTTGTCCTCTGGCCTGTACTCCAGACAGACAGACAGACAGACAGACACACAGACACACAGACAGATACACAGACACACAGAGACAGACAGACACACACACAGATACACACACAGATACACACACAAACAGACACACACATACACATGACATGACTAACAGGATATGAGAGCTTACACTATTTAAAATATCTTTACAAGCATCCCACTCTAAGGGATTCCAAAAATGGACAAGGCCTTTAAGAGCCCAATTACAAAATTTTCCAACAGAAATACTTCAAATTGTTCTTTGTTTTCATAATTGCACATTCTGGTTCAGTCACAGACCATGGTTAATCACAGCTCATGCATACACTGAGTCAGGAATGTGCAATCATGGATGATGAAGGCTTTGAAACTCGCTAGGCCTGTTGATGTTGTTCCTGTACCTTCTAGCTAGTTCCAGAATGATCTGAGAAAAGAACTTGCAGAACTGACCTGACCAGAAGGATCAGAAGAGAAAGAGACAGAAAATCCATAATCTAGCAAGACAAACAGCAATAGAACAAAGCTCGTCTCCAGGTGTGGCAAATCTGCAGGCAGCACAACCCCAGGGAGCCACTTCCTCCATTACAAAAATAAGCATGTCAAAAATTGCAGTAAAAGGGCTGGGAGATGGCTCGGTGGGTAAGGAGGACTTGAGTTCAGATCCCCAGTACCCAGGTAGAAGCAGGCATGGCTGAGCATACCTGTGACCCCAGCTTTGGGAGGCAGAGATGGGCTGACCTCGGGAACGCACTGGCTAGCCAGCCTAGCCAGAACAGTGAATTCTGGGTTCACTTAGAGACCAGGCCTCAAAAATAAGTAGGAAAAAAAAAGACACCAGACCCCCTGTGAGTGTACACACCCCTACCCACATATGCACACACACCACGCACACACCCATACCATACATCCACATATATGCATATGCAGATTACAACATATGCAGATTACACACACACACACACACACACACCGTGCAACACCCAGATCCATACCACGCACCCACATGTGTATAGATCACACACATACCATATCCATATAACACACACACCCATACCACACACATACCCACACATGCACACACATACACACAGCGTGCATACACCACATACACACACACCCACACCCGCACATTTGCATTTTTGGATACTTTATAGTTCCTGTTTTATTAATTAGTTTTCATCTGGCTCCCTCTGGGGTCATGAGCTCAGACCTGTGTGAGCCACAGCAACTGCTTGAAGGCTGTTCCAAATGTGGCTTTGCTCAGTAATTGCTTTCCTGTAGGGCTGGGGGAGGTAGCATCTGACCTGAGCTGTCATTTTCTCAGAATCAGGTTAAAGTCAAACACATGATTAAGAAAAAGGAATGTTAATTAAAAATTAAGAGAAAGAAAAAAAATTTAAATCTGTCTGACCTCTTGATACTGCAAAGGTAAAGTAAGGGTAATAAAGTTGTCATCTCTCGGGAAGCCAGGAGCGGAAAGTCATAAAAGATGACAGCAGAGTGATTTACATTTACAGAGACCTAATTAAATCTAAGGACCAGCGATAAAAACCCTAGATTATACACACAGTTCCTCTAGGGCTGTGGTTCGACACCACGATGCCACCATGCCCCTGGCCTCACAGCCAAAAGCTTAGATATTTCACTGCCAGAGTCAAAAGCAGGAAGAGTTTAAAATATCTTCATGCTGGACAAGGCTTTCTGTTTCTGTTTGTTTTGCTGTACTGGGGATGGAACCCAGGGCCTTGCCCATGCTAGGCAAGCACTCTACCACCGAGTTAAGTTCTTTTGCGTACTACTTTATAAAAAAGAACCTAGTTTTAAAAAACATGGGGCTGGGGAATGTAGCTCAGTGGGTAGAGTCCTTACAGAGCATGCAGGAGGACTTGGGTTCAATCCAAGCACAGCACAAACTCTGGGCATAGCATGTCTGTAATCCCAGCTCTGAGGAGGTAGAGGTCGAAGAATCAGGAGTTCTGGGTGAACTTTAGCTAGAGAATTCAAGGCCAGCTACATGAGACCCTGCTTAAAAAAAACAAACATGCCTTCGTAAAGGTAAAACATATGCCTGTCATCCAGCACTGGGGAGGCAGGAGGACCTCCAGTTCAAGTCCAGCCTGGTCTATGTCGTGTCTCAAAAATACATATTTTAAAAACCAAGTTCATCCCAAGGCAGATACAAACACCTCTAGGTTGTATGACCTTGTGATTAGGTATTTTAGATGTCTGTAAAAGTACTGACCAGGGGGAACTGTTCTTACTGTGTTGAGAATTGGAAAACATGCTGATGCTACAGGGTTTATGAGCTGATGCTGTTCAGATTCCACGAAGGATGTGAATATAAGTTATTCATGTTTAATATAATACAGTCAAAGCAATAAAGAGAGAAGAGGTAGCTACAGATACGAGAGCCAGAAGCCCTGACACAGATGGAAGGGTGGTAGCGTCTGGAACCTAGAAGGCAGGACGGCACAGACAGGACGTCTCTGCATGTAACAGAGACTGCGGGGCAGAGTCATCACTTAAACCTTTACCCACTTTCACAAAGGAACTCCGATTCTTTATAGTGCTGGTTATAATTTGGATTTTTTCCTTGTATGTGTATTTGTGAGGGCACACGTGTGCATGTGGAAGTCAAAGGTCAGTCTTAGCTGTTGTTCCTCAAGAGCTTATCCATCTTGTTTTTCAAGATGGCCTTGTTTTTATTACCTGGAACTTGCTGATTTGGCTGTTCTGGCTGGTCATAAAGCCCCAGGATCTACCCATCTCTACTGCGCCAGAACTTGGATTACAAGTGCAGACCACCACACCCAGCCCTTTCACTTGGGTTCTGGGGGATGGCACTCAGGTTCTCCTCCTTGTATTGCAAGCACTGTGCCCAGTGAGCCATCTCCCATACTCCAGACCTTGTGAGTTTGTTGTTAGGCTGGCTGACCATTAGGTCCCAGGGATCCACAAATCTCTCTTCCTTCTTAGTGCTGGGATTATAAGTGTATGCCACCATGGTCAGCTTCAATCTGGAGGATCAAACTCAGGCTCTTATGCCTGTACAGCGAGCGCTTTACAACAAGCACCGTACTGTCTGAACCAACTCCCCAGCTACTCCACAATCCTTTTGTAATTGCTATTTGCCACCTGCTTCTCAAACTACTATGAAACTTCATGTGAGCATAGACCCTTTCTCCAGAACTATATGGTGGCGGGGGGGAGGGGCAGCACTGGGAAGCCTGGAGACCAGTAATCTAAAGAGCATGAGCAGTCTGCAAACTTTCCTGGTGGCCTTTCTTGCCCTATCTGCTGTCCTTGTACCCCTTCCCTCTCAAAGTCAGCCTGCCCGCCACTCCATCCTACCCCAGGACTGTCAATTTCCTGCCATTTCCTAAGCTCTGTGTCAGGAATTGTGTTACATCTTGTCCTATAACTGTCACTGGTGCCCGTCACTATCCTAGGAAGCAAGTGCTAATTAGTGTATCCTGTTATGCAGACGAAGAAACTAAGGCCCAGAGACGGTGAGCAGGTCCAAGGTCCACATGTAGTAAGGGGCAGTGGTTTGGGGGTTCACATACCCCTCTGGAACCCAGAGGCATCTGATTCTCCTGCACATGGCTCAACCACAGCAGCCCCTGGGGGCCAGGCAGAGCCCATGATCTGAAGCAACAGGTACAGAGTCCACTTTGACCCGAATTGTGTGTGATTTCACAACCAACACATTCTGCAACACCTCAGAAGGGCAAGGGAGAAGCTACCTCATTTACTCGCAGCAGCGCATGGGACAGGGTTAAAGTTCTTGAACTAGAAATCAGGAAATCTGGGTCCTGGACTTAGATCTTCCACCAGCAACATGCGTGACCCTGGACGCTTCACTAAATCGCTCTCTGATCTTGCCTTCTCCGCCCTAAAATGCCAGTAACAGCAGGTCTGGCTACATGCTCTGGTGTATTGCTGGCAACCGGCTTTAAAAGCATTCTGTTGAGCTTCAGAACAATTTTGAGGTCGTTACTAGACTCACAGTCGTGTCCACAAGTCACGCAGGCTAAGCTGGATCCTGAGCTGGAATCTGGGTCCGGATGACTCTTAACCTCAATGCACACAGCCCACCTTGGGGTAGGGACATGCCCGTCACTTCATCATCTTACCGGTTTTCAGTTCCCCTCATTTATGTTCTCTTATCAGTATGAGTCACACATCTGGTCTAATTTACAACTAACACCTATATTTTTATAAAACAGAAGCGACTCATTTAAATGGGAACCTCACATTGCCACTGTGAGGGGGAAACCCCAATCATTTGTTATGCTGTTCCCCGCCCCCCCAAATGTGATGTAAAAGAAACTTCCGAATGAAGTCTGCCTAGGAGCCTGCGTTAAGCTCTGTGTGGTGCCTGCTGTCTGGAAAATTAAATTAGAAAGCCAGAGCAGAGGCGAGCTTGGGTGACTCTAGCCCAACTGAGTCAGCACCTTGGACCCAGAAACTTAGGTGTCACAGCTACCTAAGTCGATGCTACTTACAACCAAGTCCAGGGGGTGGGGTGGGAGCTACCTGTCACTCTCAGCCTCCACCTGTCAGTCACCCTCAGCCTCCATCTGTCACCCTCAGCCTCCACCTGTCGTCACCCTCAGCCTCCACCTGTCAGTCACTCTCAGCTGCTACCCGTCACTGTCAGCTACCACCTGTCAGTCATCCTCAGCTGTCCCCAGACCCGCGCAGCCAAGGCTTCCCAGCAGTCCCAGGCCAGGGTCCCCAGGGCGACAACAGCCCTCGAGACCCCAGTCCACTCACAGTGGCAGACGACAGCGCGGGCCCGTGGATGCACGACGCGATACAGCCTAAGCCCTCCCAGGCCGAGCCGCCCCCTTTCAGGAGGCTGAGCCCAGCCGACCTGACCCTTGAGCCACTTCCGGCCTCTCTAGGAAGCCCGGAGGACCCGGCATCTCTATGGTGAGCAGGTAGTCTGTTAGCCTTCGCCTGTCCTGGAGCAGCTGGTTCACTCTGTTAATCGGCCCCAAATTTCCTAGCCAGCGTGTTACAGAGTTGCAGGAGCCCTTCAAGGGTCATCTATACAGATCTTCCCACCTCCAACTTCTGCCTCTAGGTTTCTACCTCTTGTATAAACCTCTTTAATAACGAGTACAGGACTGATCAGAGGTATTCAGTTCAGTCACTACTGGATGGATGGACTGGTGGGGTGTGGGTGGATGAATGGGTGGGGGGATGGATGGATGGGTAGATGGGTAGGTGGTTGGATGGATGATGAATGAGCAGGTAGGTGGGTGGATGGGCGGGTGGGTGGATAGACAGGTAGGTGGATAGGTGGGTAGGTAGACAGGTAGATGCAGGTAGGTGGATGGGTGATCAATGAATGGGTATGTGGTTGATGGACAGAAGGGTGGGGAATGGATGGTTGGTGGATGAGGGCCCCTAAGCAACAGAACATTCACTCTCCACTTTTTAAAAGAAGTCTGTTGCTCTGAGTTTGGGTATCTATGTGTGTACATGTTTTCCAGCTTCGTGTGTTCTGGTCACCAAATGAACAATGATGCCCTTGAAGATACCAAGGTCTTAAAAGCCATGCTGAAGGGAAGGTTGGCTTTCTCCTTCCAAGGTCTCCCTGATAGGCAGGCCCATCTTATATGCCTTCCCAGCAGGAGTGTGGTTCTACCGAAAACTGCAGATTCTGTGTACACACCCCACAGAGACACTTACGGCCCCGAATGGGAAGCTTTCATTTTGGTAACCAGGAAGATGAAAGTTTTGATTTCTTGTGCTGCTCTGTCAAGAGAGCCTACCCCACATTCAGACTCTGAATGATGTCGTTCACCACCCAGCTTCCTTAACAATATAAAGTCACAAGGACAACTGGATTCCTAGAGCACAAACAGGAGTGGAGGCCAGGAGAAGAAAGCCGAGTCTGCGGGTCACTGGCTTCCCCACTGCCCTGTCTTCACCTGTGATCCAGCTTAGGTTTTGGGGAACGGAAAAAGTCATTACTCAGTGGTTCTTAGAGGACAACTCTCCTGTAGCTCTTCAGGCTATAAAAAACTAGAAGAGAAGAGGAAGGATGCTCAGAGGCTGGGAGATCAGCTAAATGCTCTTGAGACCAGCAGCCTTGATGCCCCTGAGAGCACAGTACAAAGACTGTTTTCCTTTGGGCAATCCCAGCATCCTCCAGGGGAAACCCACATTTCCTGTTGATAAATACAAGGAGCAGTGTATTAAAATGTTAATATTCTACAGTCCCCAAGGACTCATAAAACAAAACTTATATTTGAAAGGCAAACCACCAACTTTATAATTACTTCCTTAGTTCTCACTGCAAGCTAGTGAGCTGATTTTGTGAAAATCTGAACAAGAAATCTAAACTAGAAATTAGCAGAGAAAGAAATTGACCCCAGTGTGAGTCAGCATGTCAATACTCTCTTATTTTGTTTTCCCCTGAGGATAAATCCAGACTGTGGGTACATCCCAGAAAGATCCATTTTTCGGGGTAGGCTTCCTTAGAGATAAATATCACTGTATACATTAGAAACGCTTTCACACCTATGCACACATCCAATTCTCACCAATCCTCATGTCAAGGTTCTGAGGTATCCAGTAGAAGAGAGCAATCCAGGAAACATAAGTCTAAAAGGGAGAGTTTTGGTGGAGGAGGTACACACGTTTAATCCCAGCACTCAGAAGACAGATGTAGGCAAATCTCTGTGAGTTTAAGGCCAGCCTGGTCTACATTTGAGTTCTATGTCAGTCCGGACCACACCAGTGAGACTCTGTCTCTAAAAATGAAATAAAAAAACAAAGATAATTTAGAATCCCAGAAAGGGTTGAACAACTGCATATGTTTATAGTAAACATTACAAGCTTCTGTAATTCAGCCTTCAGAGGAGAGAGTGCTCTGTTCCACGAACTCATTCAAGGACCCAGGCTTCCTTCACGGCCTATGCCATCCCCTTCAGGATGTGGCTTCTGGAGTCACCACAGAAGGGCATGTACAAACTTGGCTTCCCTCCAAAATCTTATTTAGAGTCTTGATATAGTTAAATCTCTTTCTGTCATTTAGTTTATCTGAAATGAGTTTTTTTTTAGTTATAGACTGAATACTGCAGGTGAACAGAGACTCAGTTTACTGATGATTTGTCTCTATGGCCTCCAGGATGCTTAGTGTCTGGCACAGAAAGAAAAATTTCAAATTGCAGAGTGTATAAGCAAATGTCATGTCTCTGTTTGTCCCTGTTCAAAACCCCAAAATTTGTACATGAGCCATTCTTTTGGCTTAGCTTGGATCAGAAATTACCTCAACTGTAATCAGCTGTGATGGGAGTGGGTGGGGATGACAGCCAGGAACAATTGTTTGTAGTCCACCATTATAAATTGGGGCAGTTTCTAAAGTAATCATTGTAAGGGCTAGAGAGATCTCTCGGGGTAAAAGCCCTTGCCACATGGCTTAAGCCTGGTAAAGACTTAAGTTTGATCCTTGGATCCATTGTGGAAGGAGGGAACAGACTCCTGACAGTTGTCCTCTGAGCTCCAATAATGAGCTGTGATACTCGTGCACATGTGCACACAGATACACACACACACACAAATACAATAAATAAAAATACAGAAAAGAAATCATTGTAGGCTTGATCAACAAGTTTGGGTTGGTAACACCAACACCCTGTGGGAACTTGCTAGAAACATTGGGCCTGGGGTTTGATCAACTCTAAACCCAATAAACACATTTTTAGCCAAATCCTCAAGTAATTCCTAGGCATGATACAGGTTGAGAAGCACTGCCTGAAAGTTCTGTTTCCTAGTACTAGAATAAAAATGACTCTCTGATAGGGGGAGGAGAGCCCTTGTGATTGTCACACACACAGGGCTGGGGAGGTGGCTGGGTGAGTCAGAGCCCTTGTTCTGCAAGCATGAGGACCTGAGTTTGGACCCCCAGTACCCATGTAAAAGGCTGAGCAAAGCTGTTTGTGCCTGTGACTCCAGCATGTGGAGCGGACAGAGGACGTGGATCCCAAGAGCTTGCTGGCCAGCCAGCCCAGCCAAAAAGGAGAGCTTCTGTTCAGTGAGAAATCTGTCTTAAGTCAGTGAGCACATGCCCACATACTTACATGTGCCTCTCTCTCCCTCTTTCTCATGCACAAAAGAAAACATCCTTAAAAATACACACACACACATACACACACACACACACACACACACACACACACACACAGAGGCACGTCCTGAGGGTGAGTTGACCAAATACAGATATAATAAATGAAATGGTGGAACTGGGATTGAAAGTCATGTTCTCTAGCTCCAAGACCTTGGCTCTACATTCCCTCCTCTCTGATACTCTGACTCCTGGATAAATGTGATTCCTTACACAAATGAGGAAAAAATTAAAAGGGGAAACAGACAAAAATCAAGCACCATTTAAATGGTGGCTAACGATTTCAAGAATTAATTTGTTTTAGAAAAGGAAACAAGCATTTATTACTTACAGCGCATTTGATAAAATGATTTTCCCCACTACATATTAAGAAGCTCAGTAACTTAATGAATGTTTATATTTCATTTATTTAGCAATTAAGCATCTTAACATTCTTTTATGAGCATTTATAGCACTTATTAAGAATTATCAAGCATCCTATTTGGGTCAATGGTTTTTCTTTTTCCTTTAAAAAACTTTGAAATATCTTATTATTAGTACTGTGCTGTTCTCAATACAAATTAAATGAAGTGTTTAAATAGTGCTGATTAAAACTTCATGTTATAACATTAGTGCGCCTCTCAGCCTTCATCAGAGAAGCATCTTTAATATAGAAACTTAACAACTGGCCAAATAGCAGAGAGTAAGTGACTTTGAAGTGCTCGGCCCTAAATGGGGACATCTGTAATAAACACCCTCACCCCAAAGCCCAGGGAATGTCATGAAAGAGGGGGCAGAATTTAAGAGTCAGAGGTTGGGAGGAGTACTGCAAAACAGCATCTTCTGGGCATGTCCGGACCATTGCACTCACGAACTCACAGCAGCTGTGGTTACCTGCACAACACTTGCACAAGAGGGGGACTGTCAACATTACGTCATGGAAGGAGGAAGGGCTTATGAAAATCTACTCTGAGGGACCTACTGACGACGAATGGTGTCTGGGAGAAGGGATGTCGCTTTCTTTAGTGATTAACCTCTGATAAGTGGCCCACACTCCAGTGAACGGCTTCTCACCCATCTTTGTGCAGGAAGCGTAATTAAACTCAGTGGGACACGCACACACACACACGCACACTTACACACGCACGCACACTCACATACACGTGCACACACATACACACACAAGACATGAAAGCAGGAAAGGGCCTTGTTGAGAAGAAGAGTTTCAGTGGATGAAGGCGGGGGTGAAACAGCAAACTGGGTGTAAAAAGGTCTAAAATCCACTATATGCACATGTGAGACCATCAAAGAACGAAAAAAATAATAACCTCTCACAACTTCACATAAGTCTGTTTCCGGGCCAAGGAGAGTGTCAAAGAATAAAAATCTAATAAAACCCTCCACAACTGCATGTTATTCTGAGTTTCCTGGTCAAGAGATATCTTAGTTTTTAGCTACAGTGATTGATTGAGATGGTCACATGACCCACGACAGTCCAGTCAGAGTCTTTCCCTAGGAAATAAGGAAGCTCAAGACTTTGGAGCTTTCGACTACACAAAAGACCCCTGAGATGCTGAAGTTCATGTCTGTCACTTGGTTCCTTAGTGTTTCCAGCAACTGAGGACTGTGGATATGAGCTGTGTTAATTAGGCACTTTAGAGTTGAAAACTCCTATAGATCCATCTTATTATAATCAAATCAAAGGTAAAAATTATAGGCTCCTGTAACTGAAACTCAAAAGATGGATTCCACGCTGGG